CAGAGAGGCTGACGTTTCGGGCCTAGACCCTTCATCCCGTCAGCCTCTCTGCTCCTATGATGCTGCTTGGCCTGCTGTGTTCATCCAGCCCTGCACCTTGTTGTCTATGTAATAGACAACTGGCTTTATGCCTCATAGCAACAAAGGCAGAGCAGCTTGCAATGTACCAACTGCTGTAATATTCTAGATGTCAGAGTCCAATACAACATACCTGGTTCTCACTATACTTATTATTTATTCCAGGCCCTTGTGCCAAGGCTTTTCCAAGGAGATGTACAGTCATTAGTCTTATTGTCCTCCCACATGCCGAGCAACAAATTGATGCAGACAACAGCCTTCTTTCACAGCAACCAGTTACATGTTTTGCTGTAAATCTTATCAATTTGCACATCACCTAAGGTAGAATTCTTATTATATTTAGGTATTAGTTGAATGAGGACCAATCCTTAAACAAGTCTTCCCTCCTAACCAAGCTGTCACCTTATAGTGTAATGTTTGGTATTGTTTGCTAATGAGTTAAGCAAAAAATCGTTGTTTCTATATTGCATTTCCAGGAAATAATATTCTGTGACATTCTTTGGTAGAGAATAAGAATAATTTGACCTTGATTTAGCCTATTAATTGCAGCTTGCTTTCATTGGAAATAATAGATAAGTGAGGCAAAGAGATAATACAAAAGCTTTCACTCCTTTGCAAAATCTTTGATACACTTCCAACTCCAATATGTGGTTCTTTGTAACTGTGCATGAAATTCGTCAAGATTATCTCCACAGAAACTGCAATACAGCATTACAGGAATTGCTTAGGCAAGGAAGACAGCCCCAAGTAAATCTCCATTTGCATTGCCATTGACCCCTCTGCCTCTACACGTTGCCCAACTGGCAAAGTCTGTTTGCATCTTTGTACTATTGCAGAGCAATGAAAATCTAAACAGATTTTTGCAAAGGAAATTTAGCTGTTACTTGTAATGAGGTTCATAGGTATAATAAAGTTTTCAGTCACATGTAAAAGATAAGATGCTCACTTAATTCAACAACTGCCATGAATTTTAAAAAAAAAGCATAGGTTTAAAAATACTGACATTGGTTTGCTTATTATTTGAATTGTAAGCAAGCTCCCTTCTGTCACAGCCCTTCTTATGCATGCTTAGAAACAATGAAGGAGAATGAGTTGAAATCTAAAGTGCTGGAAAATTAATCTATTATCAGTTTGGTTCATTTGACTTCTTTTATTTCAAAAATATGCTTTATTCATAAAACTCTTTATATATATATACATAGTCACTAGAGCAGTTCAATTCTATACATTTTTGCATGTAGAACAAACAAACTCAAGTCATTTCTGACTTATACAAGACTGTATTTACATGCATGTGAGGCACTGGGAGGGTCTGGTAACTAAACAGACCCCCATTGTACTTTGGCAGAAAAGTCTTAGATGGTGGTCTTTCCCCACTGTGTCTTGGCTGCAGCTGCCCCAGGCTTTAGTGTGTCCCTCAGCACATAGTCCTGGCCCTTGGAATGTGCCAATCTGCAACACTTGATCAAGGTCAATTCCTTGTTCTGAAAGATCAACAAGTTTCAGGCAGAACAAAGAGTTCGTGGTCCTCCAGGTGGAGTTGATGTTTGTTTCGGTGTGTGTCGCGGGGAACAGACTGTACATCACAGAGTCCTTCATCACAGAGCTGCTCAGGACGAATCTTGAAAAAAACTACTGCATTTCTCTCCAGATTTTGTTTGCAAAGGCACATTCCAGCAGGAGCTATGTGACAGTCCCTACCCTCCTCTCCCAAGGCTAGTTCGAACTGGTCACAGACGCTCATAAGTCTGCACGCTGACAGCAGATCTGAACAGAAAACAGTGACGTTATCCATGTACACGGAGGCTTTGACCTGCTGGCCTCTGCTGCCTGGAATTTTCACCCCTCTCAGGCTCACATCCTTCCTGATGGTCTCAGCCAAAGGCTCTACACAACACACAAACAAGGCAGAATGAAATGGGCAGACTTGCCTTACTCGAGAACTGATCAGGAGGCTTTCTGATTCACACCCATTGACTGAGATTGCACTAACAATGTTGGTGTACAGCAGTTGGATCCAATTACAGATTCCCTCTGAAAACCCACGTCCCATATGTACAAGTGCGACATCCTGTCAAAGGCCTTCTGATCCAGGCTGATGAGCAGGTGTCCACCCATGGGTCCTGCACTTGGGCGATTGTATCCCTGAGGAGAGCAAGTCTCTCCGAGATCATCCTCCCTGGTTCTGCACAGGTTTGGTTGGGGTGCATCACTGATCCCAGAGACAGGACTGCTACTTGGTCGAAAGTTGCACCTCCTGGATTTGAATACATAATCTAGGCTAGTTTGCCTGATGCATCACTTCAACTTCTCTAGTTTCCCCTGCTTGGATCTAGGATATTATTAAACCAACAGCTTTAGTACAACACTAAGCAGTGTACTTACAGGGCCTCAAAGATTTGCATTTTCATTACCTCTTCAAATATTTGTAGAATAGACTTTGTTTGTGATAAGTCTGCTGTACTATGTTAACAAACATGTTATAATGCATCCAAACAATTGCACAGCTAGATTTCAGCCCTCAATAAAGTGAAATTATTTGAAATTTCTTCCATTGGAAAATGATAGTAGCTTACATTGTATATTTATTTTCTGACAGCGTAACAATTTTTTTTTTGCAGGCATGGGGAGAAGGAAATTGAGACGATTATGGATCCGAACCATAAAAATAGGTGCAACATCAGATTTCTGGAAATGTTTTCTACAAGCAAATACACTGTGACTGTGACAGCAAGGAATGCACTGGGATCCAACTCTTCATCCACCTCATTTAATGAGAATACTATAGGTGATGGTTGACAACTGAAAATGCTAAGTGTGATTTTAATGTCGATGTTAAGGCAATTTTACATTGGTGCTAGTTTGTTATGGATCATAGAAAATAGTGTCCATGTGCTATCTGTGTTTACAACAATAAAGCTGACTCACTTCTGATTGTAGTGTCACCCACCCACAGAAATGTAGTTTCAGAGTCTGTCATCAGGATCATGATGCCATTGTAAAGAGCAATGTAAAGAAGAGTAACTGGCACACAATAAGCTGTTCTCCACAATTTGAACTGAACAAATGACAAGACAGAAATATCTTTGGGGAGGAATGCTGCTATCATAGGAGCTGACAGTTGTAGTGTTGTAAGTTCTTAATTTAATCTCAATACCCCGAGTAACAGGTAAGTAAATTTGAATTACAAGAATTAAAAGAACACCGACTCCAAATGCAACCCACTGTTGATAACTCAATGCTAGAGAGACAGTCCTTCCACTCCTTGGCTCCCTTGCATTTATTCATTATGCATACCTGTGTCTGAAAGGATATGAATGCTCTTATGTTGGTGGACCGAGAAAAGCATAAGCACTTGGAAAAACCGAAGAGGGTATCTAAAAATGTGCAACATTGGTGGCACATTTCTATTGGAATTCAGTGATTTGGCTCCTTAGGATGGGGTTTACTCTGTAGATCTGTGTGTTTCACTCTGTTAAGCAGATTGTGTATTTAACTGGTACGTTGTGCACAAGCATAAGCAGAATTAAGAGATATTCATCGATTAAGGGGTGCAGTTACCTTAATCAATCCTTGATTAATTTAAGACATTGCTGCTGCTGTTTGCAGCTACTTCTACCAGGAGGCCTGTTGGATTTGTACGCCACACTCACACATTTTGCACTATCCTCACACATCCACTGAAGCTTGTCTGCTGCTTCTGTGTGATACCCCCTTTAATTTTGATTTTATTGTCATCTGTACTCAAGTACAAAAGTACAGGGGTACAGTGAAAAGTGTATAATGTTGTCACACAAGGCAACATCTTGGGTACACGTACCTAAGTACAGAATCTGAAGAACAAGGTAGAAAGAAAGAACAAAGTTAAAAGTTAAACATTGCCTCTGGACAAAATTTCTGTAGCCTTTCAGCTTTGATCAGTAATTAAAATACTGACATTTTGTCCTGGCTCTTTAAAGATTTCATTTTTAAATTGCAATTTCAAGTACCTCTCCCAATAGGCAAGAAAGAGATAAGTGCAGGGTTAAATTGTACATACGTAAATGACAGAGTATTGTGAACAAAATTGGGGAACTGGATGCATAGTAGCATTGACAGAAATGTGGCTAAAGCCAGAACAAGACTGGGTACTTGACATTCCAGCTTATAAGGCTTTTAGTAGAAATAGGGTGGTGAAAAGGAAGGAGGTGTAACAGTCTTGGCAAAAGACAGTATCACTGCCCTTGAATAAGTTACATTTACTGACTTAGAATCTATATGGTTGATGGTGAGAAGTAGGAAGGGAGTGGTACGTTGGCATTTATTATAAACCTCCAAATAATGGAGAATTTAGTAGGAAAAAGCATTTGTAGGCAGATTGTGGAAATCTGCAGGACAAGCAGAGTTGTGTTAGCTTGAGATTTCAATGGTAAGAAGAAAGGTAGAATGTGGGGCACGAAAAGAGAGAAATTCCCACAGTGTATGCAGGAGAACTTTCTGGAACAGTATATTTCCAGCCCTACCAGGAAAAGGGCTATGCTGGATCTGGTCCTAGGAAATGAAGCAGGCCAAGTGGAGAATGTCAGAGTTGTAGAGCATTTAGGAAATAGCAATTATGACATAATAAGGTTTAATATTAAGTTGGAAAAGGAAAAAAAAATCAGTTAGTGATTAAAGAGCAGATTTTAGGGGTCTAAAAGTTGAACCAGAACAGGTTGATTTGAAAACATTTTGGTGGATAAAATGTTGAAAATTGAGAGAATCTTAAAGGAGAGATGAATAGGGTGCAAGCTAGGTACATACCCATCAGAAAGCAAGATTACCCTGGATATTAATGAGGCGGTAAGGAAGAAAAGGGGGCGTATGATGCACAACAGAAAAACAATAGCAATAGAAATCAGAGAGTATCTCAAATGCAGGAAAGAGGTTAAAGCTGGAATAAGGAAGGCCAAGAGGAAGGACAAGGAAAAGATGGCAGGCTGCATTAGAAAATAAACAGTAAAATGTTCTTCAACCCTATTAATGGTAAACATTTAATGAAAGATAGGGTGGAGCTCATGAGCAACAAGCAGGGTAGGCTGCTCACTGAAGCAAACGAAGTGAATGAGTTACAAAATGTTTACTTGGTTTCTGTCTTTACCAAGTCAGAAAACGGTGACAGTGGCCTTGTTGAAAGTGTGGATGTTGAGCAGCTGAGCAGTATAGTGATAAAGAAGAGGTGCTAAAAAGGCTGGCAGCACTCCAGGTAGAAAAGTCACCAAGCCAGTTTGGGATACATCCGAGATTGCATAGCGAGGTAAGGGAGTAAATTGCGGAGCCGTTAACAGAAATTTTCTAAGCCTCTCTAAACACAGGATTAGTCCTGGGGAACTGGAAGATTGTAAATGTGACAAGTTTGTTTAAGAAAGGGGGGCAAATGATTATCCAGTAAACAACAGACCTGTCAGCTTGCCATAAATAGTGGGAAAACTGATGGAGGCCATAATACAGGATAAGGTAGACATACACTTAGCGAAAAATAAGCTAATACTTGACAGTCAACATGGCTTTGTTAAGGGCAGGTCATGGTTGACAAATTTAATTGAGTTATTTGACATGGTGACACAGGTAGTGAATGAAGGTAGTGCTGTAGATGTTGTATTTTTGGACTTTCAGAAAGCATTTGATATGGTGCCTCATGGCAGGTTGGCGAGCAAATTAGAAATATTTGGGATTGATTGGTCTATGGCAGTGAGGATTAGAAGTTGGCTAAATGCTGGGAAACAGAGGCTAGGTAGAGATGGGCCTTTCTCAGACTGGAGACGAGTTGAAAATAGTGTTCCCCAGGGATCGGTGTTTTTTCTGATATAAATAAATGATTTGGAGAGGTGTATTGAGGGAAAATTCTCTAAATTTGCAGATACTAAGCTGGGGAGAAAAGTGAATTGTGAGGATGATACTGAGCGACATCAGAGGGACATTTACAAGTTGCCAAAAGGGCGGACACCTGGCAGATGTATCTTAATTCAGAGAAATGTAAGGTAATGCATTTTAGTAGAAGAAACACGAAACTACTTGAAAAATTAATGTTTCAAGGGACCCCGGTTTCTAATAGCATACAGCAAGCTTTTGTTCTTGCCTAAATTTTTACCCTTCTCAATGCATTGAATTCTCTGAATATTTGTTCTGTTTACAATTTAAATATGTTTGACAACAGTACATGGTATTATCTTACCCCTGTCTTCACTAGAAACATATCGATTGTTACAAATATAAAAGTATACAATTGATTCACTCTATGTGATATCAAGAAACAGTTGGAGGTATTGGATAGTGCAAATGCTGTGGGCCCTAACAACATTCCAGAAATAGTGCTGAAGGCATGTGCTACAGAACATGCCTCTCCCCTTGCGAAGTTGTTATAGTGCAACGCTGACATCTAACTGACAAAATTCCCCAAGGTCCTATTCATTGTGGCCGGCGACCTCAACCAAGCCAACCTCAAGCAGGTGATGCCAAAATACCACGAACATATCTCCTGTCCCACCAGAGGACTGAACATTCTGGACTACTGCTACACAACCATCAAAGGCTCAATCCCCTGCCCACACTTTGGAAAATCTGACAACAGCGCTGTGTTCCTCCTCCCAGCTTACAAGCAGCAGCTAAAATGGGAGAATCCTCCACAAAATAAAGTACAGTGCTGGTCCAAGGCAGTGGAAGACCATCTCCGGGACCGCTTGGACTCGGTGGACTGGACCGTGTTCAAGTGTTCAGTCGAAAACCTTGACGAGTATGCCACCACCGTCACCGACTTCATCAGCAAATGCGTGGAGGACTGTGTACCAAAGAAGTTAATCCGAATGTTCCCCAACCATAAACCTTTGATGGAAATCCACTTCCTACTGAAGGCCAGTCATGCAGCATTCAAGTTGAGTGATCCGGACCTATACAGGAAATCCAGATATGACCTCCGCAAAGCCATCAGTGAGGCCAAGCCACCCCAAGTCAGAGGCCCAGACCTACCAAACAGACTCCCGCTGTCTAGGCAAGGCCTAAATGACATTAGGGGATATAAAATGAAACAGTGTAAGATCCTGGACAATGACACATCCCTCCCTGACATGCTCACTGCTTTTTATGCTCGGTTTGAGCTGAATACCACCGGCATGGCAACACCTGTCCCAACAGCCCCAGACACACCAGCTCCCTCTGTCACCGCTTCAGAAATCAGATCAGTCTTCCTGGGAGTCAACCCGAGGAAAGTGACGGTGTCCCCGGCCAAACACTCAGATCCTGTGCGGACCAGCTGGCGGAGGTATTCACCGACATTTTCAACCTCTCCCTCCTACAGGCTGAAGTCCCCACCTGCTTCAAGAAGACCACCATCATCCCCGTACCCAAGAAAACACATGCAGTGTGCCTTAATAACTACCGCCCAATAGCTCTGACTTCAATAATCATGAAGTGCTTCGAGAGGCTGGTTATGGCCCACATCAACTCCAGTCTCCCAACCTGCCTCAATCCCCTAAAATTTGCCCATCGGCGTAACAGGTCCACAGAGGATGCCATATCCCTAGCCCTGCACTCATCCCTGGAACATCTGGTCAACAAAGACACCTATGTCTATACCTGCCCCCTCACCTCCATTCAAGGCCCAAAACAAACCTTTCATATGAGATGGGGGTTCACCAGCACATGTGTCAACTTGGTCTATTGTATCCGCTGCTCGCGATGTGGCCTCCTTATTTCGGTGACACCAAGCGTAGACGCGGAGACCGTTTTGTACAGCATCTGTACTCTGTACGTGACAAACGACAACACCTTCCG